TATATATGTATGTATATATATATATATTTTATATGTTTTTTGGGGGTTTTGTTTTTGACTTTGTGAGTCTGTTTTAGAGTGTTGAATGTTCCAGAAGACAAGAAAATAGGCATTATACACAGGGCAGTTCCCTCTATCAGAAAACTTTCCCACATTAAACATTAGATCTTTTGCTCATTGTGGGGAAGCCAATTTAATAATTATTAGAAGCACTGCTGTAACTGCTAATCTACAGCCAGACGGCTGTATATAACCTAATATTATGTAGCATTGCTATTGCAATTTTATCCTGATTGGAGTAGAAGACTTGCTAGATATGTGCATGTTACATGTGCCTGTACATGTAAGTTTCCTTCCTCTTACACAAAGACCTTTTTTGTCTATAGTAACGTGAAATAAATTTAAAGCTGAAATTGTAATTTCTTCTTTTTATACAGCACCAAATAGGTTAGTTACGTGTGTAATTTCTGTGTAATGGTGTATATTCCATATCCTGCAGGCTGCTTCTTCTTGTAATGGGTGGTGGAGAAACTGTCATTCATCCACTCCTCCATTCACATAATGCAATGTGGAAATGTAGAAGAATAGTATTAAGAGTTCCCTGAATGGAGGCAAGGGCATGAAGGGTCCGGCAAGCAGCACAACACTTGCTGTTAACCTATACAGCACTGGAAGAAACTGGAAGCCTCTCAGTGTAATGTCTGGTGGCTATGAAGGTGGCATGAAGGGAGGATTTTCACAAAGAGCAGCAGCCTGTAGGAGATGGGATAGACATAGTTGCTGTATCTCCACAAAACTTTAATAGATTGCACAGCGCACCTAAAAATTCATCTATAGAGACAGAACATTACAAAACATTCTTGGATTGCTCCGTGTCTATCTGCAACTTTTTAACTTTTTGCTATATTAAATTAGAAATATAATAAGCTGGGTTATTTAGTTACATAACCTCGTCACTTCTAATAGTAGCTCAAGCAGAAAACCTCCTAACACCCAGTTTGTCTCAGCAAGGCTTAGTTTAGACAGAGCTAGGGCTGCAATAATGAATCGATTAAATAGTTGGCAACTATTCTCATTATCGATTAGTTGTTTGGGAAGTTTGGTAAATACCGCATTGCTATCACTGTCAGGCACCAAATTCCTAACAGGGATCGGGTGTCTGACAAAGCTTCAATTTTTTTAAATGGATGCCTCAATAGCGGAATTAAAGAAACCTGAATAGCTGATCACGTACAATGTACGCGATCAGTCATTTAGGCACTTAGTGGCGGGGTTGTACATGGTTGTAACTGAGCTCCAAGCAATTAGCTAAATACACAGTTGAAATACACATATGGAATTTGTTTTATCTGCCCAAGTGTTAGTAATCTGTTCTTGTGATTTAAGCACTCCTGTCAGATAGTACACCCCTAGCCTACTGAATGGACAGTGAAGGAGCAGCAGCACAGTGACAAGTCTTCACTCTGTTGCTCTCTAATCCTTTCAGCATGTTCGCTGCCTGCACATGCGATTGGCTCCTATGGCTTACGCTACCTCTCCTAGTCTCAGTTCTGCTACACAGGAGATTACAGGGTGACCTGACCTATTCAGGTACTTTCACTAGTTACATTATTTTTTTATTGCAAACTTCATTAGATGTTTCCTTTTAGTTCAAAATATAACATTTTACCATTTTCCAGATTCGGGACAATTTGGGAATTTCTTTGGATAATCAGTCTTCTCCTCCCCCACCTGTACTTATCCCACCCCTGAGGATTCTTACGCCCTGGCTTTTCAAGGTAGGCTGAATACATTCCTTGCAGTAGCAATTATCATTGTGTAAGCAGGACCACATCATCTGTTATATGTAATGATTTCTTCATAGAAGAAAGGCATTTACAAGTGTGCATTGTGCTTATGTTTTTTTTTTAAAGTACAACATACATCAGCAGGGTTCAAGAAGTTTATGAAAGAGATTACAAAATTTTGTAGCTGTGTGATGGAGCTGTGTTCTTGTTTGTTTCAACGATCCCGATGGGAAATATCCAATGTAATTAGAAAGATGATTCCTGTGGCAACGTAATTATATGAAGGAGTCCACCCTTCAGTTATGCAATCTACACCCATTTCTTGTTCACAAAATACGTCTTTGCATCTCCTGTGCTCTGCAGCACCTGGGCATTGGGATGGATGACGTTGTAGCATGTCACTTGTGCTGATCATCTCGCTGTTGGCTTGCTTTCCAACAAATTGACTTGTCCTTTAATGATGTAAAGTCATTTTTGGACATTTTTTTATCAATGTTCTGTATTTTATTACAGATCAGCACTGGACTTCTTGTGTTTTTTTTTTATTTCTTTGTACTCTTGCATTACTTGTTGCTGGGCTGCACTGTGCTTTGTTGACAGTAAGACTCCTGTGGGAGCTTCTGTCAGACATTTGTTCTTGACTGCCCCAGTAGGCCTGGCTGCCCATGACATTGGCTGTGGACTACAGGAAGAGGGAGAGCACAGAATGCGTTTGTCTGACGTGCTATAGACTGGGCAGGGGAGCAAGCACACAGGAGTGACAATCCTGTCATGGGGGGAGCAGCCAGTGCAGAACGTTGTTAACCCTATTCCACGAAAATGGTAACAGTAACTGGCTCATCAGGTATTTCATCTGAGGCAGTTAGGTAAAACTAATGGGAAAACATTGCACTTTATCTAAGTGACGTATTGATAATGATTTATCTATATCTCTGAATCTATTGATTTTTTTCACATGCAACTGCATGTTAAAATAAAAAGGTAGATCCAGAGATATAGGCAGCTGAAGTTATGTGTTAATCTTGACTTTTCCTGTAAAAGTGAAGCATGGCTTCATTCCCTGCCTTCTATTGAGCCTACATATTGTTCAGTGAGTATCACAGGTCAACTTTGAATCCTGTGAATCCTTACCATATCTTCTGTTTCAGGCCACAATGCTGCCAGAAAAATACAAACAAGGGAAACTACATGCCTACAAATTGATCTGTAAAATTATGAAGAGACGGCAGGACGTGTCTCCAAACCGCGATTTCTTAACGCACTTTTATAATATTATGCACTGTGGTTTACTCCATACTGACCAGGTACTTGGTTCTCTTTGCTAACACTGATTGCACGGGGTGTGTATGGCTCTAGTGCAAGGTAAGGGAACTTAGATATTTAGTTGTTTTATGCTAGTCTAATCAGCTTCTTCACAAGTGGCAGAAGTATAACCAGAAAAGTGATTAACTAGCAATACTAATGTATTTCTTGTGCTAATTAACCAAATCGTGTGATTTTTTTTTTTTTTTTACAATTAAAATAATTGGACTCGTGTGGTGAATGGACAGTACATACCCTACTTTTATTATGTAACAGAAGCCCTCCCCCACACTAGTTTCTACAGTCATGTGAAAAAGAAAGTACACCCACTTTGAATTCTTTTAAGTATTGGGACATAATAAAAATAATTTAGGTTAATGCAGCTCTGCAATCCTTAAAACTCCCTTTTGATCACACCTCACAGCTGCCTTTCAGATTTCTACCTGATTTGGAAAGTTAAGTCTGATTTGTGAGCTGTTGACAAGAGAGAGTAAAATGCCCAATACAAGGCTTCATTAAGCAGACCTACACAGTCTGAACAAGTCCCAAATCCATTTACCATGAGATGAACAAGTCTCATAATGTGTCTCACATACTTCTCCTCCGAGACTCATTGGGAGAGTTTCAGTAACAGAGGCAGTGCTGTCAATCCAAAAAGCAGTGGGCAGAACTTGGTGTGACCAGGTGCTGATCGATGAGCTACATGAGTGTTAATTAACAGTGTTATTATAAATGGACACTAGGCAAACAAATGAAAAGCCTGTCACTTTAAGGACATAACCGCTTCCACCTCACACCTGCCAGTTTTACCTAGTGTCCTCAGGAGAATGGATGTCTCATTCTCTTCTGCTTTATTATTTTAGTTAATTTTTTTCTTGGAAGAGATTTTTTTTTACAGGGGCCTGCTAGTTGATTCATTTCAGATAATGTTAAATCCTGGGAGTTCTCACTAGCTAGTCGACATGACAGAGATTCATACCGAAAAAATTAAATCCTGGGAGCTTCTCAAGATGCAGGTCATCTCTGGTATCAGTACTTATGACTTGTCCTGCAGTGGTCATGAAGCAGGTCGTTTCTGGTCTTAGTACTTATCCTTCGTGCTGCGGTGGTCCTGTGTTCCTGTTTTCATCATTTATTGGTCAGGCCAGTATTAACCTGGGTATTCCAGTTATATCGGGAACAGGACCGTGGGGTCGTGAGTAAAAGATGTGTTTATAAGTTTGTGTGTTTTCCCTGCTTTTTATTTTACTTTGGCTGTGTGCCTTTAGACTCCTATTTGGCTAAATGCTTTTATGTGTAGTTTAACTGGTTTTATTTATGTTTCCCACTATCTCTAATATGCTGGGACTTCAGTTTGATGACACACTTGTTTTTATCTACTGTGCATATGCAAGCGCCATACCGGTGACGTGGTCACACATTTCAATGTAATCCTGCCCAGTTTTTTGGCGGTGGAATATGTTATCGCCAATATGTCAAGCATTCCAACGCTTTCTCAGATGTTCCAGGGCAGATCGGCATCGCAAATCGTATGTGCAGGAGAACTGATCTGCTCTGGTACAGCTGCTGTGTCCCTCAATGGACTCCGAGAAAAGGATTATTTATTTATTTATTTATTTTTAAAAAGAGAGGCCATAGTTCTGCTTTAAATTCAGCACAGTTGCAGTGATTGCTTGATTGCCATTTTACTAATTGGTTTTGTGTTGCCTGGAATTGCTCATTTATTTGATTTTGTGTCGTGAGATAATGGTTGACTTTGCTGTACTTTTTTTCCCTTACAGGATATTGTTAATACAATTATCAAGCACTGTTCACCTCAGTTTTTTTCTCTGGGGCTCCCTGGAGCCACACTCCTAATTATGGACTTCATTGTAGCAGCAGGGAGAGTGGCTACCTCACCTTCTCTAAATGTAAGATCAATTGTCGTCATCTCTGGGGAAATGTATTCTTTGCCTTTAAACTATGCTTAGTTTTAAGTAGGAAAAAGCTTGTATTTGGGGTTCAGTACGAATGCAATATAAGCTTCCTATAAAAAATTTAATTTGATACTGCAAACAAATGTAATATGTCAGATATAGCATCAATGTGCCATTGTTTTTTGGATTTAAAAATCTTTATTAATTATGAAACATGAAGGTGATCATTTAGGGGTTATATGTGAAAACAACAAAATGCGTGTGGTGTAGATCAATTAATCTGAGTCTATGATCCATTTTCACCTCTTAACTGCCAATTGCTTTGACTGTTATTGATTATAAAAAAGGATAGCAAATAGAAAACATAAAATATTATGAAACGTGAAAACATAATGTGGTAGCAAAAAGCAGTTTAGCTAGTTTTATCAAAACAGTTATTTGACTATAATAAAGGACACTGTCATCTTGTGAAACCTTTAACCACTTGCCGCATGGGGCGATTTCTTTATTTTTGCACACACAAGTGTGAGATTAGTTTTTTGGCTAGAAAACCGCTTAAAACTCCCAAACAATGATATATTTTCTGAAAGCAGAGGCCCTGTAAAATAAAAAAAAATAAAAAGTTGCATTTTTTTATGTAGCATGAAGTTGCACAAATGTTTATCAAAGCAGTATTTTTACGTAAAATACACTAAAATTAATGTTAGTGCACAGAAACTGAATACAATACCCAATTCTTTTGTAAAATACAAAGAATGGGGTTGTGTCGGGTAAATTGATACCAAACATGTTAAGCCTAAAAATTGCATGTGTCCGTGAAATGGCAAAAAAACTACAATAACCAAAATTGCCCTTAGGCAAAGCTTTTACCACTCATACGTTTAGTGTTAATAGTGTTTGATGGCCCTAGGATTATTGCTCCTGGGAGAGCAATAATGTTCGTGTTTTTCGTGGGTTTTTTCCTTTTTTTATATGTGACTTGAATTTTTTAAGCTTTTTTTTTCCATTTAAAAGAGAACTATGGGGTAAGTGTTTTTCCACATAGTTCTCTTAAGGGTCACGGGAGGACATATACTAGTGTCCTCCTGTGACCCAAAGCTCAGTATATCGCGAGCTACGTGAGACCAACGCCGCCGGGACGGATCCTGACATTACTGTCTAGATCCACTAAGCTGCGTAAGTGACAGCTGGCTTTGCCTATCTAAAGGCAGAGCCAGCTGTACCCGCCCCTCCCTCCTCCGTTCCTCCAGTCAGTGCTGGAGAATCAGAGAGGGGAGGGGGGAATCCCTGCAGGAAGCCGTGACTGACAGTCACTGCTCTCTGCAGGGAGATGATTGAGAAGTGAGCGAGTGACGGTATGCGTTTGCTCACTTCCCAATCTATTAAGACGACGTGTGACAGTTTCATTGTCATAAGTCGACTTGAACTATGAGGATGAGTGATTTTTCACTCACCTCATAGTTCTGCTTGAACTTTATTATAACATATATATCACATAAGGGCTTGATCGGAGGGGAGATTAGCCACTGGAATTGGGCTGATCTCCCTCTAATCAAAGTGCACACCCGCTGTGCCGGGCCTGGGCCATCACAGGGAACAAGAGAGCCCAGGATATCCTGCAGCGGAGGGGACACACATACAAACACTCCTCAACTCTACAAAAGCAATCAGGAGGCTCTATAGCTGCCTGAACGCTTATATGTGTCAGCCATATAATAAATGGTACCAAGTTAACAGCTGCTGCACCCCATTTATATACATATGGCGGTCCTGAAGCAGTTAAACTACTGAAGTGTTAGCATAAAAGTCCCAATTTTCCAGTAGTCCCAGTATTACTGTAAGGAATAGTGGTGGGGCTGAAATGTCTAAAGCTGGCCATACACCTATAGATTATCTGCAGATTTTCTGTGCTCAAATGGAAAAAGTGCAACAGATTCCTCCATTTAGGCTAAACTGTGTGGATGGAGGAATCTCCCTCTGGACCAAGCTTCAGTATCTTGCCAGTTGGCCCCGCTGACTGTCAACATACCTGAACAATCTGATTAGATGCAGGTAATATTCAGGTATTTTGAGAGCCAGCGGGGCCGACTAGCAAGATACGGAAGCTTGGTCCAGTGGGAGATTCCTCCATCCACACAGTTTAGCGTAGATTGAGGAATCTGTTGCACTTTTTCCATCTGACCACAAAAAAATCTGCAGATAATCTATAGATGTATGGCCAGCTTTGCTCTCCTGGATAAAATGCTACTTACTGTAAGGAAGTGAACACTGACATGGCATTTGGTCACATGACCACTGCTAAAAGAGAATATCCGCCAGTCTATCTTCAATTCTACCCCTTCAGCGGAAATCACATCAGCGGATCACCACCAACAAAATGAATGCAGCCACCACATCTAAGGACCAGTAAGCTGTAATATAATATAATTTTGGTTTTATGTTAAGAGACGCTTAACATACTAGTTAACATACTGATAGTAATATGGTAGTGTGGATTTAAGTTCTACCAGCACTGCTTCCGCCGAAGACTAAATTATCTGTAAGTGAACACTTAACAGTGCAACTTTTATGTTGTAGTATGCTCTTTTTATGTAAAAAAAATAAATGCCACCATTAAAGTCCGACCCTAAAGTGTCTGCTTACATATAATTTACTACACATCAATGTATATTTGATAGTTTAACCCTTTTGCTGCCAAGCCCTCCGGAACATTTTGCAACTCAGCTGGCCACGCCATTTTTTCAATTTTTCCCATTGATTTGATTTTCAACTGCTGTGTCGCTAGCGTTTGTAAAAGACCCCCAAACCATATATTTTCTGAAAGTGCAGGCCCGGCAGAATAAAAAGATGGTGCTACTAAATTTGTAGGTCCTGCGATAATTGCGCAAATGTTTCTCAAATTATTAATAAACTGATAAAAAATACACAATTCAATTGATAAAGCCCTAAAATCAGTATCAGTACACACAAAAAAATATATTTTCTGACTAAATCTAAAAGATAAAAATGTATGGTTTAATAAATAACAAGTATTTTTGCGAAAAGGTAAAAAAAATGAAGGAACTCAAAACTGTAAATAAGCGATTTATGTTACAAATTGTTTTTGCACTGTGTTGGTGTTTGTGTTGTGATAAAATGATACAGGCGTATATTTAATTGCAGCACAAGGTATGACAATGCACAGCAATGCGTCACTAAGCTTTGCCATGCGCTGCCACAGTTAAAATAATGTTTTTTTTTAAAAGAAAAAACTCATGCACTGTGATGCGTTCTAACAACGCACTGCAGCGCATGTGCATGGCGTACACCACAATATGGTGCACGTGTATTTTATGTGTGAGGGGGGGGTTTGTGGTTTTTTGTTCTATTCGTTTTTTGTTTTGTTTTTTACAAATTTTTAAATTGTATTTTCATATATATTATATTTATTTTTACTGTTGGGGGGGCTACGGTGAAATATCTGGGGTCTAAACAGAAACAGATGCCTGACATTTCCCTTTTGAAATAGAAAAAGAAATTGAGGACGCAGAGTCCTCAATTTATTTTTCTGCACTAAATGATGCACTGCGATGTGTTCTAACAACGCATTGCAGCGCATGTGCATGGCGTACACCACAATATGGTGCACGTGTATGTTATGTGTGTGGGGGGAGGGGTGTTTGTGGGTTTTTTTTATTAATTTTTTTTACAGATTTTTTTATTTTTAAATTTTAAATTTTTTTTATTTTATTTTTTACTGTTGGAGGGCTACGGGGAAGTATCGGGGGTCTAAACAGACCCCTGATATTTCCCTTTTGAAATAGAAAAAGAAATTGAGGACACAGAGTCCTCAATTACTTTTTCTGCAGCCCCAGCACTCAATGAATGGGAAGCACTCAGTACAGAGGCTTCCCATTCATTCAGAAACTGCTGATAGTAAAATATTTACTATCAAGCAGTTTATGAATGGGGAGGAGCCTCTGTACTGAGTGCTACTCCCCATTCAGAAATTCATGAATTAACAGGAAGTGATGTAAATTAAATCCTGTTCATTCATACTGGGAAGACATAGTACTGTGTCCACAGTTAGTTACAAACACTGGAGTGATCAGACGATCACTCCGGTGTTTGTTCTTCACACGAAGGACCGGTAAATATCACTGATATTTACCGATCCTCCGCTCGGCCGCGCACACGGCCGCTGTCATCCGTAAACCGACAGGGAAAGGGTTAATGGCCTTATTTCTTCAAGTCCATTATTTACATTTTCTTTATTTCATGACAGGCACCACGTGTTGAAGCCCAGGTGCTTTTAGGATCTTTGGTCTGTTTTCCCAACCTCTACCAGGAGCTTCCAGCTCTACACCCCGGCAGCTCTGAAATTGGGATGTCACAGTTCACAGATGTCAAGGTGATTCTTTCATCTATCAGATAAAGGTTGGATTCTACCTTATCTCTTTGCTTCCTTCTTTACATTTCTTTTTTTTGTATTTCAGGAGCTCACCATCAAGACTGTGTTAAGCTCAGCTCGAGAAGAGCCATCTGGGCCAGCCAGGTACAGAAAGCCAAACTGTTTCTATGTATAACAAAGCAATATGTGACCAAAAAACTCAAAAGATTGCACGGCTCCACCACACCACAGCACACAAGCAGGGGGAATTTGTGTGCGTGCGTGTATATAGATAGAAAGACTGTATATATAGAGAGAGAGAGACTGACTCTTTTGGTGTAAATGATGTTCATCACCACCCTGGAAAATGTATCTTTAGATCATAAGTGGAGAATCTCTAAAATAGTGACAGTAATCCAGTTTGCACAATGGGGTTGATTTACTAAAGGAGTAATGCATGTTTACTGTACAACATTGATTTTATTCCCCTTAGCTTAGTAAATGAGGTGAATTCTAATTTTCATTGCATGTGATTGGGCTTTTGTAAAGGGATTTTCACTTACACTGTGTGCATAATTATTAGGCAAGTTGTATTTTCGAGGATTAATTTAATTATTGAACAACTACAGTGCTCTCGGTCAATCCAAAATGTTAATAGACCTCAAGCCTGAATGTTTAAGAAAGTAAAAGTGAGGTTTTGGCTATCTTAGGAGAACATCTATGTGTGCACAACCATTGGGCAACTATTAGTGTGCAGGATTATTATGCAACTAAATGGAAAATGAAAATGTTCCCATCTCACTTGTTTATTTTCATCTGTTAAAGTGAGAATAATAGACAACTCAACATTTACAAATAAAAATTTCTGACATTTTCAAAAATAAAATCAGTGACCAAAACAGCCCCCCTTCTTTTCAATACCAGTCATCAGCCTTCCATCCATGGAGTCTGTCAGTTTCTTCATTGGTTAACAATCAACTTTTTGTGCAGCAGCAACCACAGCCTCCCAGACACTGTTCAGAGAGCTGTACTGTTTTCCTTCACAGTAAATCTCCCATTTAGGAAGAGCCCACAAGTTCTCAATAGGGTTTAGTTCAGGTGGGAAGGGGACCATGTCATTATTCTTTCATCTTTAAGGCCTTTACTGGCTAGCCACGCAGTGAAGTACTTTGATGCATGCTATGGAGCATTGTCCTGCATAAATATCATGGTCTTCTTTCCTGTACCACTGCTTGAAGAAAGTGTCTTCTAAAAACTGGCAGTAGGTATGGGAGTTGATTTTGAGTCCATCTTCAACCCGAAAAAGTCCAACTAGCACATCTTTAATAATACCAGTCTATACCAGTACCCCACCTCCACCTTGCTGGCGTCTGAGTCGAAGTGGAACTCTGTGCCCGTTACTGATCCAGCCACTGACCCATCCATTTGGTCCGTCAAGAGTCACTCTCATCTCATCAGTCCATAAAACCTTTGAAAAATCTGTCTTCAGATATTTGTTGGTCCAGTCTTGACGTTTCAACTTATGTGTCTTGTTCAGTGGTAGTCGGGTTTCAGCCTACCTTACCTTGGCCATGTCTCTGAGCACTGAACACCTTGTATTTCTGGGCACTCCAGGTAGGTTGCAGTTCTGGAATATGCCAGCACTGGAGGATAATGGATTCTTAGTAGCTTCACGTTTCATTCTTCTCAAATCTTTGGCAGTTCATTTGCATCTTTTTTTCTCAACACGATTCTTGCGACCCTGTTGACTATTTGCAACAAAACGTTTGATGGTTCTGTGGTCACGTTCCAATATCTTAGCAATTTTTAGAGTTCTGCATCCCTCTGAAAGACTTTTTTAAAATTTTTGACTTTTCAGAATCGGTTAAACCTCTTTTTTGGCCCATTTTGCGTGAGGAAAAGAAGCTGCCTAATTATTATGCACACCTTTATATTGGGTGTTGGTCTCCTAAGGCCCCACCCTCCCTCATTACACAAATACAGATCACCTGATATGCTTAAATTCAATAAGACTTTAAGCTCATACAGCTTGGAGTTAGGACAATATGCATAAAAATGGTGATTTGGTCAAAATACTCACTTGTCTAATAATTGTGCACACAGTGTAGCTTCACATTATTCACTTTGCAACGTGAACATGCTATTTACTCTAAATTACTCTAATGTAATGATTTACTATAAAAAGTGCCTAATATGGTGGAGCCATAAAAGATTCTATGAAATCTCTCTTAACCCCTTCGTGACGGGAGACGTACACTGTACGTCCAGCCACAAAGGGACCAAATGACTCGTCACGTACACTGTACGTGACGAGTTATTTGCTGCACTAGAAGGCTGCTAACCGCTGAGAATCAGCGGTTACCTTTCAGTAATAGATGTCTAACTATCTAGAGATCCATTACTGAAAGGGTTAACCTTTTTCAGACACCCGATACCTTAATATCGGGTGTCTGAGAGTCACAGCAAAGCAGACACACATGTCGGCTTTTGCCGGCATTCTGACAGCTCGTATAGATCGAGAGATATCTCTCTCAAGCTATACTGGCTTTTTTTTTTTTTATCTTTTGACTTTCAAGAATAGATACAAAATGTTATGTATTAGACACATAATGTATCTATTCTTGAAAGTAGAATGTTTAAGTTTTCTGAAACATTCACTGACAGCTGAATCCTGAACTGCTGCAGGATCAGTGTCACTAACTTATTATCGGCTGTTCTGAAGTTTGAAGCAGCCTGATAATAAAAAAAATGTATTAATTTATCAAGCAGTAATAGTGAGATTAATTCACAATGACTGCCTGATATAATTAAATAAATAAAATTTGTCAGTATAAAAAAAGTGAAAAGTGTAAATAAATTAAAAAAAATAGTGAAAAGTGTAAAAAAATTAAAAATAAGGGACAAATAAATGAATGTATGTATTGAATTTTTTTTAGCTGTGCTGGTTTTGTTAAAAAAAAATACTACAAATCAAAACTGGGAAAAAAAGTTTTTTATTACGTTTTTTCCTCTTTTTTTAATTTGTATTTGTCCTAAGTGAGGCGTTAGACACACATATGTGATATAAATATATAGCCCTATCTGTCCTCTAAAAAACAATATATAATATGTGTGGGTGCACTTTGTAAGAAAGTATATTACTGACGTGGAAGAATCACACAGCAAAAATGTCAAAAGTGTGTCAGTCATTTACGAACAGAAACCAAAAACAAGCTCAGTCATGAAGGGGTTAAAGGGAATTCCAAAATACTACATTTTGCACAGTGTTATGGCCACAGGTATTCCTCTCTATGTGTATGAAAGGTAATGCATGTTTATAAACCTTAGCCCAGAGTGAAATAGGCAGTCTTGCCAGTCTTGTGAGTTAGACTTGTTGATACTTTCACCAGATGTAACATAAATAATCCCATATGCAGACTTTGCCGGGGTGAGTGATCGTCGGAGGGGGTTGTCTATGGAGGCTTGTGCTGATGGGGAGGCGGCGTCAACCCGGGGGGGGGTGGGGTGCTGATGGTGACGATCGGCCGTCAGTATGGGGTGGGGGGGGGGGGGGGGCGGCGTTGCTGTTTTGCCTAGGGCAGCAGCATTTGTAAATACACCGCTGTGTGTGCCAACGCATTTCAGACTTCCTTCGCAGGGGGGCGGGGTACTTGAAATGGACAGGGTTGTAATTATAGGTTATCCATCATGCATTCCTACTCCACTTAATGGTATCCATTCATTTTAGTACTTTTTATTTCATAGTCCTAACATCATATATACCCATTCGAGGCTAATCAATATTTTCTTGTTTTAAGTGTATGCCTGGGCAAAGAAAAAATATTGTGTAGTATATCTCTGAAATACATGCACATTTCCCCATGTGTTATCCCTTTAAAATTTCTGCAAATACAGACTTGTTGATCCTGTCAGAAATCCAGTGAGCTCCTAACTTCCTATGTGAGCTGCCAACACAATTCATCTGCTGATGAACTACAGAACACCTCACCCTTATGTTCTAGAGGGGGGGATGTGTTCTATTGTCTAACACGTTAGAGCTGAGCTGTTTTGTGCAGCCTAATAATTTGCTTTCCTCTATTACAGATGTGTAGCCTTGTGCAGTTTAGGAATCTGGATGTGTGAGGAACTTGTTAACCAGACACACCACCCTCAGATTAAGGAAGCACTTAATGTCATCTGTGTCTCCCTCAAAGTAAGAGAAAATCAAATGATATCAAAATTATTTTATTTTTTCCCTGCTGTAAACCTATACAAGGCATTGCTCAGATGGCCCGACCATTGAGATCTACTCACAGCAGTTGGTTTCATTCCCAAACCAAGGTTGGGGATGCATCTAGTCACCTCTTAGATGGCCGACCACCCATCACATCTTTTACTTTTATCTTACACTTCCATTGATTGCCCGGCTCTCTAGAGAAGAAAACATGTAAAAATGACTACAGGACAATAAACCTCTACTTATTCATGGCAAGGTACCTACACAGCAGCTGCCCTCTCAGCTTCTAAAACTGCAACATAGTTGGTAATAGTTTATACTAAGAGATCTAAACTTCTTTAGCACTATTTATATTTTGAATAGGTGTTGTTATTATTTGAAGAAAATTATAAACACCTGTGCTTTCATCCCACTAAAATGATTAAGCAGCATGCTTACAGAATGGCATTCTTAACCACAAAGAAATAACAAAAATAAAATAGACGAGCGGCGCTAAAACAGTCCTTAGAAATCTATAGGTACACCACAACATTCAATCTTTCAAAAGTCATTTAAAACTTCCAGCTTTCGTGAGTAACACCTTCACCACATTATACACTAAACAGCTTAACAGATATAAAGTCCACTTGTTCATACAGTAAGAGGTCAAACTGTTCTTTTAGCAGGTTTTATAGATCCACAATTAATGCAGCCTCTATGATGAGTGCTATATCTCCACCCGGGATCACACACCCATATCTTCTTCACAGCTGCCTGACTGTTTTATGGTACCTGTAACGGTATCATCTGCATTCTTTAGTTCCATTTCTTTAATGAACACCTAAATATGGTGCATTAATGTAATTGGATACATTCTTTAGAACTATTTCTTCAAAGAACAGTTAAATGCACTGCAATATTGTGATTTGCTGAGCAAAGTCAGATTGTAATGCTGTCATCTGCACTCTCTGGAACCATTCTTTATATAGAGTCTATGCCACCTCTGTCTTGCTTCCTATTCTTCGTCTTATAATCTCTGATTTCTGTCTGTAAAGTAGTGCAGATAGATGCACAGATAACAGACTGAACAAGGTCAGTGGAGTTGTTTTTTGTTGTTTTTTTCTGTCTATGCGAACATTCATTATATATTGAAAATCATTCTAGTGGTATGTTTAGATGTTAAAATGATGGTAAAATTATTATTGTGTTACAGTTTCCTAACAAAGTGGTTGCACATGTAGCATGTAGTGTTCTGAATGTACTCCTCAACTATGTCACACAACTGCAAATATTCCATCCGGACTACCCGCTAAAAATCATAGAGGTAGGTGCCAATCACTCCCTCTTGTTTGTATTTAACACATATGTTGTAGTGTTGACCATATGTTATACAATCTGCCCTAATATTACACAGTTTTCGTAACTCTGAAAGACATTGTGGTATCAGATTGTATATTGTATGGGCACCTTTATGTCTGTTTCATTAAATTATACATGTGTTGTATTTTTCTTTTCCTGCAGATTCTGTTAGCCACTGTGACGCACCTTTTACCAACTGCAGAAACCTCATCCTATGAGCAAGATAAACGGGTCAGTATTAAAGGGCATATATTTTGTTTGTAAAGGGAAAATTGCATAAGTATAGGTGCATTGAAGGTGTCTGGGTCAAAACGTTTTTTTTCTTAACTTTTAGGTAAAGTTGAACAAGGTTAGAACCTCTGTCAGGCTTTAACTGCCCTGTTTGTGAGATTTACCCTCCTGCTGACAAACTTTTTAGCATAGTTACATAGTTACATAGTATTTGAGGTTGAATAAAGACATTAGTCCATCAAGTCCAACCTATTAGGATCTCATTCTAGGAGTACCTGTACAGGTATACTGAGACGCCGCAGCCCGGACCCATCCCGACATTACTGTCGAGATCCACCCAGCTGCGGGATTGACAGCTGGCTCTGCCTATCTAGAGGCAGAGCCAGCTGTGCCCGCCCCCTCCCCTGTCCGTTCCGCCAGTCAGCGCTGGAGGATCGGACAGGGGAGGGGTGGAATCCCTGCAGGGAGCCGTGAGTGACGGTCACGGCTCTCTGCAGGGATAGATCGAGAAGTGAGCGAGCGACGCTATGCGTTTGCTCACTTCCCGATCTATTGAGCCAACCTGTGACATTTTAATTGTCACAGGTCGGCTAGAACTATGAGGCTGAGTGATTCTTACTCGCCTCATAGTTCTCCTTTAACTCCATGACCAGGGATGCATATTATTATTATTACATAGTATTTATATAGCGCCAACAGTTTGCGCAGCGCTTTACAATGTAAGGAACACATTACAATACAATTCAAGACAAGATGGTAAGGTGGGCCCTGCCCCTGAGGGCTTACAATCTAAAAGAGGAGGGGGAAATGATACATGAGGAGGTAGCTGCGAGGGGATGAATTATTTGAGAATGGGATGGTTCAGTGGTTAGGTTGCGGTGGGATAGGCTTCCCTGAAGAGATGAGTCTTTAGGGAACGCCTAAAGACAGTCAAGGTGAAGGCGGCAGGATTTGGATAGTGATTGGATGTGGGGAAGAAAGGTGAGGTCTGAGTCAAGTATGATACCTAGGACCTTGGCATGAGGGGAGGGATGGATAGTTGTTTTATCAATCTCAACTGAAATGTTGGGGGAAGGTGCACGGGCGGGAGGAAATTTGATGAGCTCAGTTTTTGAAAGGTTGAGTTTTAGGAAATATTGTGACATCCAGACAGATATGTCAGTTAGTAGATTAGTGACACGCAAGGACACTGAGGGGGAGAGTGGTGGAGTGGAAAGATAAATGTGAGTGTCATCGGCATAGAGATGGTATTGGAAGCCATGTGAGGTTATTAGTTGACCAAGGGAGGAGGTGTAGATAGAGAAGAGAAGGGGTCCAAGGACAGAGCCTTGGGGAACCCCTACAGAAAGAGGAGGGGAGGAGTTAGAATTGTAGGTGACACTAAAGGAACGCATAGATAAGTAGGAGGAGAACCACGAGAGAGCAGAGTCTTGTAGGCCAAGCGAGTGGAGTTTTTTTGAGGAGCAGCGGGTGGTCAACAATGTCAAATGCAGCAGAGAGGTCTAACAGCGGTTATTAGGTCATTGGTGAGTTTTAGGGGCGGTTTCAGTGGAGTGTTGAGGGCGAAAGCCGGAGTGAAGGGGTCCAAAAGGTTGTTATTAGCGAGGTGGCAACTCAAGCGGTTGTAGATAAGGCGTTCTAGTAGTTTAGAGGTGAATGGGAGTAAGGAGATAGGTCTGAGGATGGTAGGGTCCAGTGAAGGTTTTTTGGGTATTGGGGTGACTAGTGCATGTTTGAGAGGGGTAGGAAAGATTCCAGTAGAGAGTGAAAGATTGAAAATGTGAGTAAGAGAGTGTAGGATAGAGCAAGAGGGTGACCAAAGTAGTTTTGAGGGAACAGGGTCCAGGGGGGCAAGTCGTGAGATGTGTATCAGAGAGGAGCTTTGTAACTTCCTCCGTGGTGACAGGGACAAAAGAGGAAAGTAACAAGTTTGAGGGAGGGTCTGGTACATTAATAGGGGAAGTTGATTGGACAGTGGCGATCTGATCCCAAATTGTATCCATTTTGTTTCTGAAATGAGTGGCGATGTCCTGGGAGTGAGTGAGCTAGTATTCCTGTAAACACATGAAAAAGGTCCATTAGAACCATGTGCGGCGAAATTGTTCTTCCCTGAGATACAAGGACACAGTAAGTTTCTCCATGAGCCTAATTTCTGCAATTTTTGCAAACCACAGCTGTATATTTGGGGGGCCTTAACCAGGTGAATGAGCAACGATCACCTACACCTGCCCCAAGGGAGAGGAGTCAAGTGAAGTAAGTAGGCAGTCGGTTGGTCACATAGATTAATGTCTCTCAGTTTGGAAATGTAGTCTTTTTAACTTGGTCCCAAAAATTATTGCTGTCATGGGCAGTGGCAAAAAATTAGGAGGATTGTACCCTCCTGGTCGTTACATCTCCAACAATATGGGGGCACTTGCAAGTATGTTTTATGAAGTATCCTAGGGGTCCGATATCATTGAGCCACAATTGTATAGCCCGTCTCTTGGAGTCTGCTTGAGATGGAAGTCTGCGTTGAAGAAATAAAGAATGTCAACTCTCTGCTCAGGTAAACATAGTCTACAAATCCCTTTCCCACCGAGATAAGGGACAGAAATGGTGAGGAGGGTTATTTAGGAGGGAGTAAGTAAGGGACAGAGCATGTTAGATCTCGCCTATATCGGTGCAGAGCTTCTCAATGGGGTAAGGGCACAGGTGGAATCTTAATGTCTGTTGAGGGTGTACAAAAAGTGGGACAGTTGCAGCAATCTCCACTACAACCGGGCAGAGTCTGATACAGAGATCAGAGAACATAAGGGAATTCCCTGTCAAGTCAGAAAACATGCTTTTCTTTAGTAGAGTAGAGGAAAGCTAGAAACCCTTTTTACTGTCTGTGTCCTCAATGCAGGTTTGTCCTTAATTCCTATTTGGTAAAACTGTTGTCAGCCAGACAGGAAATTAGGGTAAAGCTCTCCTACAGAGCCCCGAATAACAATAAAAACCCTTCAGGAGTTTTATACCTTCACTAGTCTCTCCAAAACTAGAAAGAAATGTTTTTGGGCTGAGCATACATTTTAACCACTTGAAGACCGCGGTGTTTCACCCCCTTCCTGGCCAGGCCATTTTTCAGTGTTCAGCGCTGCGGTACTTTGGCTGACGTTTATTCCGTCATGCAACGATGTACTGAAATGAATTTTATACCATTTTTTGGGGACAGATAGAGCTTTCTTTTGGTGGTATTTAATCACCGCTGTGGTTTTTATTTTTTACTATATAACAAAAAAAAGTACCCTAAATTTTGTAAAAAAAACATGTTTCCCTATAAAATGTTATGAAACATTTATTTTCACCCCAATTTTTTCGTATAATATAAAAGACGGGGTCACGTCGGGTAAATAGACACTAAATATGTCAACCTTTAAAATTGCGCGCGCCCGCAGAAGAGAGATCAAAGGGAAATCGAGTAATGATCTCCCTTTGATCTGCTGTTAGAGCGTCGCCGTGCCGGTCCCAGCCGCACCGGCCCCATCGGATCACGGACCGGCAGCGGCGACGAGGAGACAGCGGGACAGAGGTACGGGGGGGGGTGGGGAGGCCGCACACCCGCAGCTCCTGCAAGCAATCGGGCGTCTCTAGAGACGCCTGATCGCTTGTATGTAAACAGCCATCCTGGCTGTTTGCATGCTCACAGTTTTCCCTCTCGTGTGTCTTAAGACGCGCTCCCGCTCCTAGCAGACGTCCGTCCAGCCGTTCACAAACGGCCATGGACGGAAGGTGGGTAAACCCTTTACAATCGTTCTCATTTTGGCACTGAGCTCCAGGTACGGACTACTTGAATTATCCAGCTGATGAGTTATAGGTACATGAACAAGTCATCCCGTGAATGAATCCTTTTAGTAGAATCTTTTCAGACAGCAGAGTATAACAACCAATGCCATCTCTCAGGTGCCCCACAGATTAGGGCTGTAACCAACTAATCGATTATGAGAATAGTTGTCAACTATTCTCATTATCAATCAGTTAGTTGCCTCCCCTAGCTCTTTCCTGGGAGGAGGGCACAGCAAGGAGTGGGCAGGTGCAAATAGCAAGCGTGCTATTGGCTATTACAATTTGAAATGGCCAGAACAGCAGGCTGGCTATTGCACCAGCCCACTAACTGCTGTATTTACATTCAACTGCCGTCTGCAGAATCTTTCCATTGGCAGCTGTCATTCCCTGGCTGAAGCTATTCAAGCGCCCTGTGCTTACAATACTATTTTAGGAAAAATTATAAAAATATATAGTTTTCGGCCTGACAAATTCTGCTGCGGGAGGTGTGTTGCAGTGCCATTCATTTTAATGGCACCCCAAACACGCCTCCTGCCCACAGTATGATCACCCGCACTGGAACGCACGGTACTGCAATGCTGTGCGTTCCAGTGCAGTGCGATTGCAAAACATTGTGCATGCAGTTTTATTCTGAAGTAAATGTTATGTTTTTAACACTGCATTTGTGTATTTTATTTTAAATTAAGGATTGTATTTAAATTTTAATTGGTTAATCGAAAAAATAATCGTACAACTAATCAATTATGAATATAATAATTAGTTGCAGCCCTACCACAGATCTTCTCATACCAACTTTACCCAAACCAATGGAAAGCTTAAGTAGCAGGTCAAATACAAAAAGTAATCTCAATGACATATGGTTTTATTAAAACACAATAAGAATATAAAAACAGGCTCTCAATCGTTGAATGTAAGTATTGAACTTTTATTGCACTCAGTTAAAACTTGTACTGATAAGAATGTTGGGATTTGTATTTCTATGATAAGTGGTGTGCATGCACTCTATGAATGTGATTGTATGTTGGGGTTTGTATTTAAATGATATGCAGACCTGATATCTTAAGATTTCTCTTGCAGTTGGTGGTGTCCTTGCTGCTCTCGCTCCTGGATTGGCTGATGGCACTGTCCTTATCAGTATTACTGAAACCAGTGCGGCATGCTGGTACTGAAAATCAGGGAAGGGAAAACTCTGTGTTGAACTGTGCATATAAGGTAAAGTGTAGCTGACTGTTTCATTTAATGTAATGTTTATTATAAACTACATATTTACTTAAAAAAATAATATTCAACCCCCTGTCCTTCATGGCCTTTGCAACAAAAGCAAAACAGGTTGATTTCATTTTCTATTACTGGACATATTTAAAACTCAAGGGCCTTGCTATGGGCCCTCTTGCACAGCAAGGGTTTAACCTCTTGCCGTCCGCCCGTAGTAAAAAAACGGACGGACGGCACTGCAGCATCTGCGGGTTGCCGTCTCCAGACGGCAATTTTTTTCTGCTCGCGCGCGCCCCCTAGCGGGCACGCACGGGCAGAAAAGACCCG